CAGCAGCGGGGTTTGGGAGCAACCTTGGGGCTGACCCGCATCGCAGCAGCAGCTTCAGGAGGGAGGACTGGATGGTGGGACTGGTGTCCATGCACTCTTCGAAGGGCGACAGCTCACTTCTCGGCTTGTACACTAGGAGCGAAGGGTGACATCCGTTATATGACTTCTCCGAGTGCGACGCCCGATGCAGTTAGAGGGGAACCGAGCTCTTTTACCCCTTTTCCCCGCCTGATGCTCCGGGTTGGGTTTGCACGCCACAAACTGTATCAGTCGCTGAATGATTTCAGCAGAAGGTGCCTGTCTGTCTCCCAAAAAGTAAATGGTGAGGAATTCAACGAAGAAGGAATTGCATTTCCTCCTGAATTTGTTGTGACAGGCGACAGCTTCCCTGGAGGGAAGAAGAAAACCGATACTCGTGGTCAACCTCCAACCAAGGCAAGAAACAACGTCCCCCCGTCTGCAGACCACCAGAACCAAACCAGGGAGAGGAGACAGCCGTTTCCTAAGGCACCGGCACCTTCTACCCCAGTATTTAACGTGACAGGCGCTGGAGACAGGCAGGTTTTTTGCCAGCCCCCAGATACCTCGTGGCCTCCGAAGCCGTGGGTGTGTAATCCTCTGGGAACTCCTCCTTGCAGATTTTACACTGCTTGTTCACCCACTCCAGGATGCAGCTTGTGCAGAAGATGTGGTGGCAGGGCAGCTCCGCCGGGTCGGTGATCTCCCGTAGGCAGCTCTTGCATTCCTTCACACCCTTCCTGAAGGACACCACCAAAAGAAGAGGCAGCTCAGATTTGAGGAGGGGGCCGTGGGTTGGCTCCTGCCTAACAAACATCCAGGGGTGGGGGGGATGAAGCTGGGCAGGCACTTTTGCTGAGCCTCAGGGGTGAGTGGAGAAGCAGAGCAACCTACCACCACTTCTAGACCTGGCAGCTCCAGAGCTGCATGAGGACCGTGCCTGCTTTGAGAAGGCTGTGCTGAGGATGGCTGGGTGAAGGGCATGGAGAGCCTGTGCGCTCAGGGGAGCTGGTTTCTCTGGCAGTGCATGTACGAGAAGTTCCACCAGAGATGATTTATCACCTCCAAGACAGGCTCTGACCCCTTAGCTTCCTCAGGACAGGATCGGACAGGCTGCATCGATGGCCTGAGGTCAATCGTATGAGGTTCAACAAGGCCAAGTGCCGGGTCCCGCACTTGGGTCACAACAGCCCCATACAACACTACAGGCTTGGGGAAGAGTGGTGGGAAATTTGTCTGGTGGAAAAGGACCTGGGAGTGCTGGTCAAGAGCCGGCTGAACATGAGCCAGCAGTGTGCCCAGGTGACCAAGAAGGCCGACGGCATCCTGGCTCACATCAGGCATGGTGCGGCCAGCAGGAGCAGGGAGGGGATCGTGCCCCTGTACTCGGCACTGGTGAGGCCGCACCTCGAGTGCTGTGCTCAGTTTTGGGCCCCTCACTACAAGAAGGACATTGAGGGGCTGGAGCGTGTCCAGAGCAGGGCAGCGAGGCTGGGGAGATGTCTGGAGGACAAGTCCTATGAAGAGCGGCTGAGGGAACTGGGGTTGTTCAGTCTGGAGAAGAGGAGGCTGAAGGGAGACCTTATCACTCTCTGCAACTCCTGAACAGAGGTTGTAGTGAGGTGGGGGTTGGTCTCTTCTCCCGAGTAACCAGTGATAGGACAAGAGGCAATGGCCTCAAGCTGCGTTAGGGGAGGTTTAGATTGGATATTAGGAAAAATTTCTTTACTGAAAGAGTGGTCAGGCATTGGACCAGGCTGCCCAGGGCAGTGGTGGAGTCCCCATCCCTGGAGGGGTTCAAAAACCGTGTAGATGTGGCACTTCAGTACCTGTTTTATCAGGCATGGGGTTGTCACGTTGACGGTTGGACTTGATGAGCTTAAAGGTCTTTCCCAACCTTAATGTTTTCATGTTTCTATGATTCTCTGACCAGTGGGGCCTCCCTTCAGCCCAAAGAGGTTCATCCCTGATGCTGACGTATCTCCCTCACCCTTTGCAAACATCGCATGGATGGGGGAAGGACCCTGAAGTCAACTTTTCCTTGGCTCGGACTTACACCAGATACACGACGTCGGCATTCGCATTGCATTTCTTCAGCACCTTCGTCACTAAATCGAAAACCTGCTCTGGCTCAAACCCCGGCGCTGCGTAGAGGCGCTGCAAGAGACCAACGCATGGTGCGAGTTCAGCAGAAACGTCTTTCTGGTATGCAACGGACGAATATTATGGGATGTCAGTGCTGCAGGGGCACGGGGTTAGATGACAGAATGGAGCAGATCCACGTACGCATGCCTCTGCATGGACCTCTGAGGGTGAATAACCCCGATTAACTCTTTAAATTCCCAAGGAAGCCTTCGGTGGTTCCAGATCCTCCATTTGGATTCTGAATCCAAAGAATCTTTGTCTCTCAGATGGCGTTTCCAGCCTTCTCCCATTGCTAAGCCCTCCCGACAACTGGGACCAGCAGTCCCCTGGAAGAGAGGAACCCTCCCAAGCTTCCCAGCTACCAGAGCTGCCCCAGCGAATACCTACATTCCAGAGGAAGATGAACTGCTTCACCACGAGCCTCAGGAGTTTCTCCTCTATTTGTGTCTCGTTGTGCAGCAGGTGGTCAATCAACATGTAGACAATGTTGGTGCAGGTCCAGCGATGTCTGCAAAACACCCACCCCGAAGGACACCGGTTAGATTGGACCAGAGACCTCCCACGGTCCCTTCCCACCGCTGTTTCTGTGACTCTTTCCAGTGGTGCCCAGCGACAGGACAAGGGGCAACGGGCACAAACTGGAGCAGAAGAAGCTCCAGCTGAACATGAGGAAGAACTTCTTCCCTCTGAGGGTGATGGAGCCCTGGCCCAGGCTGCCCAGGGAGGTTGTGGAGTCTCCTTCTCTGGAGATATTCCAGACCTGCCTGGACAAGGTCCTCTACAGCCTGCTGTAGGTGACCCTGCCTGGGCAGGGGTGTTGGACTAGATGACCCACAGAGGGTCCTTCCAACTCCTAACACTCTGTGATTCTGTGATTTTGTGTGACTCATCCCCGGCAGCATGTGATCACTTGAGGACACGTGACCTTCTGAGATGGCATTCCAGGGAGAAAGATACGGCACAGTCCTCTCCGCGCTGCTTGTTTCAACAGACCTTGGCCAAACTGAAACTGCCAGCCCGTTTCTGGATGTTGTCTCTGCAGAGACCTACCTGTCCCACTCCTGAAATTATTTTGATATCGGCAAGCACGCAAGGAGAAATTCCACCTGAACTAAGCAATTTGTTCATGGTGGAACATCCACTGCTTTTTTTTTTTTTTTTTTGAGCCAATTTGCCACTATGTTGATGAGAACAGGCAACGTAACGAGGAGACATTCACAACCCAGAAGGCCAATGATGCCCTGGGCTGCATCCCCAGCAGCGTGGGCACAGGGCGAGGGAGGGGGTTCTGCCCCTCTGCCCCGCTCTGCTGAGACCCCACCAGCAGTCCTGCATCCAGCTCTGGAGCCCTCAGCACAGGACAGAGCTGGACCTGTTGGAGCTGGGCCGGAGGAGGCCCCAGCAATGACCCGAGGGCTGGAACCCCTCGGCTGGGAGGAGAGGCTGGGAGAGCTGGGGTTGCTCAGCCTGGGGAGGAGAAGGCTGCGGGGAGACCTCAGAGCAGCTTCCAGTGCCTGGAGGGGCTGCGAGAGAGCTGAAGGGGGGCTGGGACAAGGGCAGGGGGCCCATGAGGGTGGTGAGGCCCCGGCCCAGGTTGCCCAGAGAAGCTGTGCCTGCCCCCTCCCTGGCAGGGTTCAAGGCCAGGTTGGATGGAGCTGTGAGCACCGTGGGCTGGTGGAAGGGGTCCCTGCCCATGGCAGGGGGGTGGAACAAGATGGTCTTCAAGGTCGCTTCCAACCCAAGCCACTCTGTGGTTCTAGGAAGGAGCGGACAGTTGGAGGACTTGTTACTCCAGCTCCCCAAGAAGAGGGTGGCTTCAGATGTCCTTCAGATGTCACCTATCTGGATTTTTGTAAAGCCTTTGACACGGTCCCCCACAACATCCTTCTCTCCGAATTGGAGAGCCATGGATTTGATGGGTGGACCGTTCGGTGGATAAGGAATTGGTTGGATGGTCGCAACCAAAGGGTAGTGGTCAACGGCTCAATGTCCGGAT